GACCAGGCAACAGGCATGGGGGCAAGCCCTGGCGCTGCACGCAGCCCGTCCGAGGAGGTGGCCTCAGAAGATGCCGCACGAGTCACGAGCGGGATTCGCTCCTCGGATCGGGAGCAGATCAGAACAGTTGATCAGGCGGGATCCCCTCTGGCTGATCATTCTGCTGGCTCTGGTGTGCCGGAGCCTTTACGTCGCCAAACAAGGTCACAGTCTGGTATAGTTCGAGAGAAAACATACACAGATGGAACCATAAGTTATGACAAAGTTAAACGTGCCTTTCTTACTAGCACGGGTGAGCCAATTCATTTGCATGATGCACTTGCTAGTCAAGAGTGGAAGAAAGCCATGGATACTGAGTATGAAGCACTCATGAAAAATAAAACATGGCGTTTAGTACCTCCGAAAAAGGGTCAAAATGTGATTGACTGTAAATGGGTTTATAAGATTAAGAAAAAGTCTGATGGTAGTATTGACAGATACAAAGCCAGATTAGTTGCTAAGGGATTCAAGCAACGGTTTGGTATTGATTATGAGGATACGTTTAGTCCTGTTGTTAAATCAGCTACTATTCATCTTGTACTGTCTATTGCCATTTCCAGAGGTTGGAGTCTGCGTCAGCTAGATGTTCAGAACGCGTTTCTTCATGGTGTTCTGAAAGAAGAGGTTTTTATGAAGCAACCACCAGGATATGAGAACAAAAACAGACCTTATCATGTTTGCAAGCTAGAGAAAGCCTTGTATGGTTTAAAACAGGCCCCAAGAGCCTGGTACTCGAGGTTGAGCACTCAGTTACAACAGCTTGGGTTTACACCTTCAAAGGCTGACACTTCATTGTTCTTTTATAACAAAGGCAACATCACTATGTTTGTGCTTGTTTATGTTGATGATATTATTGTTGCTAGCTCAAGTTCAGATGCCACCACTTGCTTGCTTAAGGATCTGAAGGTAGAATTTGCTCTCAAGAACTTGGGAGATCTTCACTATTTTCTTGGTATAGAAGTTAAACATGTGAAGGACGGTATACTTCTGACTCAAGAAAAATACACTGCTGATATACTCAGGAGAGTAGGTTTGGAAAAGTGTAAGCCTGTAAGTACACCCATCTCAACTTCAGAAAAGCTCACAATTGATAGTGGGGTAGCACTTGGACCAGAGGATGCAACAAATTACAGAAGTGTTGTGGGTGCATTACAGTATCTGACTCTTACACGTCCTGATATTTCTTATTCTGTGAACAAGGTATGTCAGTATTTACATGCACCTAGTACCACTCATTGGACAGCAGTTAAAAGGATTGTGAGATATCTTAAGTTTTCAGAGGGACTTGGGCTTCAAATTACCAAGTCTCCATCTACACTTGTTACTGCTTATTCAGATGCAGACTGGGCTGGGTGTGCTGATGATAGAAGGTCCATAGGTGGTTTTGCTGTATTTCTGGGAACAAATCTTGTGTCATGGAGTGCAAGAAAACAGGCTACTGTCTCGAGGTCTAGTACCGAGGCTGAGTATAAAGCTCTAGCAAATGCTACAGCTGAAGTAATGTGGATTCAAACTTTGCTGTATGAGCTTGGGATTAAAACTTCACGGGCTGCAAGGTTATGGTGTGACAATATTGGTGCAACTTATCTCTCAGCTAACCCTGTTTTTCATGCACGAACAAAGCATATTGAAGTTGACTTTCATTTTGTTCGAGAAAGAGTATCTCAAGGACTTCTTGACATAAGGTTTATTCCAACTGGTGATCAGTTGGCTGATGGGTTTACAAAGCCTCTCACAATGAGAAAATTGGATGGCTTCAAGTACAATCTGAACCTTGGTAAGTTCCCATAGAGGTTCGATTGAGGGGGAGTGTTAGACAAAAGGATAGATAGAGTTGTAGTTTAAACTCATATATCTCTTTCTATCTGTTTTTCTCTCTGTTCAAACTACTTCCCTCGATCTCCTGTAATCTAGACGTATCCTAGCGATCGTCTCAACTTGTATGCCACGGCAGGCTGTTCGCCAGAGTCAATATATACCGCGGCCACCTACGGGTGGTAGTACGCTTCCCATATCATCTTTCAGATTCAACCTTTTGATATCTTTAATTTACGTACCTTGATGTCTCCATAATCTATGTCAAACCATCAAAATTGTCAGTGAAATGGCTCCATAAATAATGCATAATCACCAATGCATTACTCGTAGACTATCCATGGACCATACAGTAGTAGAGAGTGTTTTCTCTCCCCTCTTCCTTCATCTTTTAGTATCCCCTTGATGATCAGAGAACGGTCTGTTATGTACCACGTACACGCTACCTATTATTTGCACTTTCATGTGTATGTGTACATCAACACTCTTGTAATATACTCTTTCTGTAAACTAACATAAGGGCGTTTAGAATACTAAAGTAATGATTTAAACGCTTTTATATTATAAGGGCTTTTAGAATACTAAAGTAATGATTTAAACACTCTTATATTATATTAGTTTACAGAGAGAGTATTTCTTTACCCTCTAACGTGCATATGTGCTGCTACTTAATCCTAGTGCCAAATGACGTTCGAAGGCACTGCTATTTACTAATTTACAGGACACGAAGAGATGCTTACAGAGGACACTGATTGTTGTATCCAACACGAATGTTTGTTCTCAATCATCGTGTCCTCTAAGACTACCACGTATCCAACCGCCTAACTATTGCCTAATCAGGTGCCTTCTAGACTAGTAAGAAGTAACTTAAACTAATAACACGCATATGTGTGATGTCATGTAACACTTTGTTTATTAAAGATCAAGCTTGGCGTGTGGTGGAACCACTTATCAAGAAATATCTTAAAACTCATTTTTTTTTAAAAATCTGAGAACCATGTTTATCTTATACTCATACTAAAATGGTCGTATGCATCCCTAGTTGATGCATAGGCCGAGAAGTGAAAATCTCTCTCATTTAAAAGTGGTTGCATGCATCACCCAAATGTAGAGGCCGAGGTCATCCTCCTTTTTTAAAAAAATGCAACACTTCATTTATTACGTTATACACTCATCTTATCTTGGTATGTGTGATGTTACTCATATTGTGAGTAAGTAGCTATGTTACTTAATTTATCTCTCTATTTATTAATTAACTGCCACAACATCTTTTTTTGCTTAGGTATCATATATGTTACTAACTCCCACTATGGATGGTCTTACAAGGGATGCAATTGTTCGAAGCAGCCCTTTGCCTCACACGTGATTGCATGGAACCGGCTAATTACCTACGGCCAATTAGCAGTACCATAATTATTTTCCGTAAACGTACACAGCCTTGAGGCATCCAATGGACGTGTGTTTTCCATAGGCCATGACTTCACGACGTGATGCGTATCTTCTAATAAGAGCAACAGTAACCTTTCACTAACACATCCATGCATTCACCACGTACGTGCTGCTAACTGAACCAAGCGGCTGGCTATTAGCATGTGATAGTTAGCAATGTATGCATTGCACTCTGATATACCTTTATACATACACATCTACCACATATTTATTTATTTATGAAGGGAGAGAAGAGTGTATTTAAGCCCACAATTCTATTTCCTTTATGTCTAGTAATCATCACACTAGACAACATAATATTAGAATTATTTCTCTAAATTACCTGGGTCACACTGAATATTCAAAATATTCTTACACGGGGGCGTTGGAGATGTCCTCATGGTCAAAATCTCCGCCTGATAGCTGAACCGTGAACCCAAATTTCACAGTGATTCAATCTGGGAAGGGGTGGTTTGTTTTGGACCATTTCGTGCTGTTCCTCCTTCGGTTTCACTTTGGGTTAGAGCATCTCCAATAAACGATCCGTATGTAAAAATAACTAATTTTTGAAGATTCAAGAGCAAAAAGCGTTACTCCAACAGACGATCCATATGTAAAAAAAAATTAGACCACCGTCTCCCGGAGATGTAAAATTTAAAACTTCGTGATGCAAATTTACATCACGAGATACAACTGATGTAAAACCGCGGTCGGCCGCCAAATGACCAACCGCCACTTCATTCCCCTTCCGTCTCGCGACCGCCCGCCCGCGACCCTCCCCGCCGCAGCTCCCCGCTCGGCCGCCGCCCCGCCGTAGATCCAGCCCCCGCCACCGATTCCACCCCGCATGGGTCGTCGCCAGCCGCCGCGCTGCCCCATCCCGTCCGCCTCCGCTCCGGCCGCCTCCGCCCCGCCCCGACCCCGTCCGCCTCCTCTCCAGCCGCCTCCGCCTCGTGTCCGTCCTTCGCTTGGCCCCGCTCCGTCCG